GGAAGGAGGGAGGGAAAGAAGGAAGAAAAGGCCTACTAGTGTCCTGTTTGGGGCCAGAGGTTAGGTTTTTGTGGATTTGATATAAGCAAGACTTACCTGGAAAAGAGGAACCCTCAACTGATAAAATACCTCCACCAGATTGGCCTGTAGGCAAGTCTGTGAAAATGATGGACATGGAAGGGCCCAGTCACTGTGGATAAAACCACCCCTGGTCAGGTGGTCCTGAGTTGTTTTACAAAGCAAAGTGAGCAAACCAGGAGTAGCCAGCCTTTAAGCAGAGATCCTCCACTGTTCCTGCCTCTAGTTGCTGCCCCGACTTCCCTCCATGACAGAACAAGCTGTAAGATCAAACAAACCCTTTCCTCCCAAGTTGCTTCGGGTTATGGTCTTTATCACAGCAAGAGAAACCAAACTAGAATAGAATCCAGGTTGGGAGTTAACAAGCTATAGTCTACAGGCCAAATGCAGTTTTCCACATTTATTTTTGTAAATAAATTTCCTTGGAGTTCGCCACAGCCTCCTATGGCAGACTGCCTATGGCCTCTTTTACTGCAAAGGCTGAATTGAGAGTTACCACCAAAGATATGCTAGCCACTTGTTAGCCATGTGAGCCTAAAACCCTAATAGTCTGCTAGTTTATGGCAAATATGCCAAGCTACTGTGGAATAAAGATGGGAAATACACAGAGTCTGGATCTTGTATGTTATTGTATTGTCTTTGAATTTTTTGACTGATGATGAAGGAGTGATAGCAGCTAAAAGACATTTTATTATGAAAACCACTAGATCAAACCGACCTACATATTTAAAAATATCGTGACTTTCAAATGCAAGACAATAAGGTATGTTGCTTTGGGGGGAGAGACTGTCATCATTATCATCATCATCATCATCATCATCATCAATACAAATGCCACTTATCTCATAATTCCTTGGTTTTATTTTGACTCTTTAAAACTTTTCTTAAGGTATAAATATTATTTCAAAATTTATAAAATTCATATATATACATATATTTTAAACTTTCTGTCATGATATTAATGGTCATATAGAGTACTAACTAATCCTAGAAAAAGGCTTCATCTAGCTTCCTATACATGGTTTTAGGTTTGAGTCTCTATCAGGTAAATAGGAATTAAAATTTTGCAATCTATATATACTTAACAAATTGTGGCTCTTTAACCTCTTTGAGATCTACTGCATACGACACTTAAAATGTTTAAGTCTTATGCAGCGAACCATGATCATTCCTAACAGCAACCTTTGAAATCCCCAAAGAGGAGGATAGGGCTTCACAATGACAATTCCATCTGAACTGTGGTAATGCCACAAAGCTAACAAATACCACCCAAAGATCAGCTTTGGACTACAAACTGCTTAGAGAAATTTAATGTGGCTAGCTGAGACGGCTCAGACTCACAGACTACTATAGCCAGGACCTGAGATAAGCCCTACACTTTCCCATTACACAGAGACTAGACAACAAATGATACAACTAGATATTCTAGGACTTGACATTATCTCAATTTTCTCCAGGGCCCTAAAGATGCCATCGTCCCCAGACAACAGGAAGTAATTTTAAGAACACAGTGCCCACATTCCCAAGAGGAGGAGTGGGAAGTTTTTGGTTGTTCAGTAGGTTATGGATATTTGCCATCATTTAGGGGGGTTACTTATAAGTGTTTATTGGTAATGGTCAGGAAAAAAATTTGAACAAAGGAGATTAGATTCTTAGATTCAGGGATCTCATTCTGAAAAGAAAATGGCAGATACAGAAATGATAGGATAGGAATCTACTTTTGAACCCAAAAAGCAACTAATAGTCTTAACTCTATTGCATTATTATAGGTTTTTGTATATTGATAAAAATTTGAGGTTATTCTTGTTATACTGTATATAATATTGATGCAAATTTAAGGTTATTTTTGATAGAAGACATTGTACATACATTTCTACTCTTGCTTAAGATGTTGTACCTATGTAGGTCATTTAACAATGTAATGTAAATTTCTAGTCCTTGAAATTTATTATTACAAACTATTTAGGATAATAAAGAATTTCAGGTTCGTAGTTAGTGACCTATTACAATCAGGTATGTTTTCAAGGTCATACACAATATAGATACATAGGTAGATAGATAGATAGATAGATAGATAGATAGATAGATAGACAGACACATGGTCTTCAAACACTTCAAAGACCTACAGAATATGGCATTTAATGTGTTTAATAGAGTAAGGATTCTCATGACAGTGAGACAGGTCTGCTCCTGACAGCACCAATTTACTTCAACAGAGGATAACGGGCATAAAGAAGCTCTATATGGAGTTCGTTTTCTGTATGATAAAAGCTAGCTAGCCCTTTGGGCAAAGAAATTGCCCTTTGCTTCAATTGCTCACAGTGTACTGTCAAAACTGGACCAGCAGAATGCAAAAAAGCAACCTCCAAACTTTGCCAAGGCAAGGTAGAACAGTTCAAGTGGGCAGCATAGACGCAGGTAGGATTCCAATGTTCTCTGGTGCTTGATGGTCATGGTATCAGGAGACAAGTAGCATTGCCTGCTACAGCAAAGAGAGATTGCCTTGGGGTGAATACATCTACCAATCATTTCTAGAAAAGTATATGAACTGGGAGTAGAAACTGATTACCCAAAGAGTAAAGACAGAACTTTTGATCCTGGGAAGATATTCAAAAAGAAAGAGGATCACCCCCAATAACAGACTTCCTCAAACTTCTGTTTGTCTCAAAATTTATATAGTCCCTCAAATGTTACAGATCAAAGGGCATGACCTCCCTACTAAACTTAAAATCTGTCTGGTGTGGGCTGCCAGCCATCATGTGATGTCCTGCAGTGAGTCTGTAGCACAGAAATGACTGCACAGAGCAGACAAACCAGGAAGTGAGCTTTCACAGCCCTCCACCCAGGGCAAAAGTATGGCTACTACCTCATCTGAAGTTCCTTGAGAGTTTTATCTAATCTGAAATGAAAACAATAAGAAATAGGTGGGCAAAGCTGGGCGATGGTGGCACCCGCCTTTAATCCCAGCACTCGGGAGGCAGAGGCAGGAGGGTCTTTGTGAGTTCGAGACCAGCCAGGTCTACAAGAGCTAGTTCCAGGACAGCCTCCAAAGCCACAGAGAAACCCTGTCTCAGAAAAAAAAAAGAAAGAAAGAGGTAGGCAAACATGCTCCCCTCAATCCCTAGACCCAAAAATATCTACCCCAGATGAAAGAAAGGACATGGAGGGTGAAGAAAGTTACAGGCTGCTCCCATGTTCTGTTTGTCCCAGGCCTCCTTCAAGATACTGTTCGTCATTTTTCAGGTTTGCTCATAAAGTTTTACACAAGCAATGCTTAGGCTATGTCAAAAAGAAGTAGAGAAGAGAGACAAATACAGAATCCAGATATGAAGGCCATCTTTGCCAAAGGGGGCTTTTGGTAAGGACACCAGTGTGGCTGGTACAATCCATATGACACAGAAAGAAATTTATTACCCAGCTTTTCCATATTTCATAACTCACGGGGAGGCTCCTTCACATTTCTTATGAAGAGATCCCTCACCAATAGGGAGAAGGAGGGTAAAAGGAGGCCATCAAGTCGCTTCTTCCAAGGTGGCATATGTACCTTGCATTGTCCCCCTGACTGTGACAAAGAAAATGGCAGTGAATGGCTCTTGATGTCCCATGGCTCTCAGCTGCACTGAGCCTAGAGAAGGTCGTCATGGAGGAAATAACTATCAATCGCTATCTGCGCTAGAGAGAGCCAGGGCCCGCCCTCGGTTAAATCCTGATGTTTGCATTTAGATGTCTCCTCATTGCCTCTCGGCACCTTTGGCCCTGTTCTTAGTCCCCTACCCCGAGGATGCCCAGTCTGCTTACCAAGCACTTCACCCACATCAGTCACCCCTATTAGTATTGTCTGAGTCTAGACGTCCCTCGTCATTCCCTGATACTAAAATGTGTACTCTGTGAATTTCATGTTACCACATAGTCATTGTTCAAAAGGAGCTGATGAGACACTTCCACAAATAGTTCTTGGGTAAAAGAGGAAACCAATTTTTCAGTTTCCAAGTTTTTAAAGAAAAAAAAGATTATGATTTGAGGGAGGAGTTCATACCAAATTTTAGAGAACAACTAGCATCTTGTGCATGTCTGAAATATTAAACCAGAACTATGAGTATCTGAAAAAATCATGAGGATTCATACTACTAACCGTAATTTAATTAACCTAAAGAAACCTATAATACATCTGTTTGTATATAATGCACATATAAAGTCTAAATGAAATTTTCCCATCTGGGCTGACAATGCTCCCTCCAACAACCAGAGACCATCCAATAAAAACCCCTACACTAAACTTGAGAAGCCCTCTTTTGAGTTGTAGGCCAGGGTTGTCCAAGAAACTCCTCAAACCTACAGGCTATTGCTATTGCCCTTTGTTACTCCCAGAGGTGGAAATCAAGTTCTTATTGCTAAATACACCATGCACTTCAGACACAGGGCCCAGAGGTCTCTGCGCTGGACCTTACCTAAAAGCCTCCTTTGAGAACTAGCACCAGAGTTTGTTGTTCTTGCAAAACACATGAGCTCAAGTCTTAGCACCACATTGCACTTCATAACCTCCTTTTGTGGGAACTGCACATATGTGCATACAGATACATGCATGCATGTATGCATGTATACATACATACACACACATACATACGCAGATACTAAAATGATTTTAAGTATGAAGAATTATGAAAAATATTAAAAGGAAGTATAATAAGCAAAGACTCACTAACATCTACAATTCAACAACTGAAGCAATGTGATGCTAATATAGTGGGAAAGATATACAGAACTGTAGCATGTGCTGTCTTTACACATGGAGAGGCCTTAAAATAAATTTCATAATGGAAAACCTTAATAAAAATGCCATGCTATTTATAATAAAAATATGAATACACACTGTTTTAGAATCATGGCAAGGGGGTTTCCACTCTCTCTTGGAGACCCCTTACCTGGTCTGTGGCTCTGGATAAGCCCCAGTGGTGGTGAGGCATGCCGTGGCTCACCAAATTGATCAGAGAGCATATGTATCGTGGTAGGAAGAGCTAAATTAAACCCCCGTGGGAACCCTTAAGGGACCTGAGATAGCATAAGAGGTGTGACCAGATTGTGAAGTGGTCACAATGCTTTGGGGACGCAGGGATTCCAGGGATTCTTCCCTGAGGAAGCACGGAATGCTTAGAACCTATATTCAAAAATGGTGAATTGCTTTGCAAGTGACATAAGGTCACAAGCAGAGCAGAAAGCCACTACTCGTAAACTGTGGGTTGCTGCTGAAGCAAAGAGGTTAGATAATGCTTGCTTTGTTTTGGAAAAGATATTGTGGCAGCCGTGTGGACATGTACTTGAAATAATGGAGTAAAATGAGCCTCAGAAAGAATGTACCAAAGGTATGTTACCCAAAGGTAACACCACAGACAGATGGCACAGTATCCCTGGCACAGGGAACTCCTCACCCCAACCCAGTACCCTTCTCCCTAGCAGACAGAAGTTCTTAATGCTAAAATCCAGGTCCAAAGTAATCAACTGTCCATCCTCCTCCTGAAACAGATCCTATCCATCTCCCACTGCAGATAATAAGGAACAAGGGCTGACTGAGTCCTTTGTGTAAGGACAAATAATGGTTGCAAGGGATTTAACATGACATGCCTACAGAACAAAATCTACACACTTACACACTTGGGTGAAGAAGCAAGGTTGTTGTTGTAACTGGAGATTTCCTACTTGTCTTCATAGAATGAAAGGGAAATGTTGGTTTGAATATCTAAATCTGGATTGCTGTTTCTTGTTCCCTGTTCAAGAAGCATGGGTCATAAGGTGTATGTGTGTGTGTGTGTGTGTGTGTGTGTGTGTGTGTGTGTGTGCATGTGAGAATGTGTGTGTGTATTTCTGTGTATGTCTGTGTGTGCATGTATATAAATGTATGTATACGTATATATGTGTATGTGTTTGTATGTATAATTATATGTGTGTGTCACAATATTGGGAACACAGTCTCATTCTACTTGTTTTTGAATTTCTTTTTTTCCTTTTCTTAATTTAAATTAGAAACAAGCTTGTTTTACATGTTTATCCCAGTTCCCTCTCCATCCCCTCCTCCCCTACCCCCTACCAACCTCCTATCCCATACCCTTTCTGCTCCCCAGGAAGGGTGAGGCCTTCCATGGGAGGATCTTCAAAGTCTGTCATATCATGTGGAGCAGGACCTAGGCCCTGCCAGGTGTGTCTAGGCTGAGAGAATATTTCTCTATGTGGAATGGGCTCCCAAAGTCCATTCATATACTAGGGATAAATATTGATCTACTGCCCAGGCCTCCTGGTCCTATGCTGGTTTCCCAGCTATCACTCTGAGGTCTATGAGCTTCCCCTTGTTCAGGTCAGCTGTTTCTGTGGGTTTCTCCAGCCAGGTCTTGACCCTTTTGTTCAACACTACTCCCTCTCTACAACTGGATTCCAGGAGTTCAGCTCAGTGTTTAGCTGTGGGTGTCTGCTTCTGCTTCCATCAGCTACTGGATGAAGTCTCTAGGATGGCATTTAAGATACTCATCAATCTTATTATCAGGGAAGGGCATTTAAGGTAGCCTCTCCACTATTGCTTAGATTGTTAGTTGAGGTCATCCTTGTTGATCTCTGGAATTTCCCTAGTGCCATATTTCTCTTTCAACCTATGATCGCTCCCTCTATTATGGTATCTCTATTCTTGCTCACCTCTATTCTTCCCCTGACTCAATCTTCCTGCTCTCTCCTGTCTTCTTCTCCCCTTCTCCTTTTCCTAACTCCCTCTCCCCTCCCTCCATGTTCTCCATTTGTTCAGGAGATTTTTGTCCCTTTCCCTTTCTCCAGGGGACCATGTATGTCTCTCTTAGGGTCCTGCTTGTTTCCTAGCTTCTCTGGTGGTATGGATTGTAGGTTGGTAATCCTTTGCTCTATGTCTAAAATCCATATATGAGTAAGTACATACCATGTTTGTCTTTTTGTAACTGGATTACCTCACTCAGGATGGTTACTTTTAGTTCCATCCATTTGCCTTCGAATTTCAAGATTCATTGTTATTTTCCCCACTGAATAGTATTCCATTGTGTAAATGTATCACATTTTCTTTATCCATTCTTCCATTGAGGGGCATTTAGGTTGCTTCCAGGTTCTGGCTATTACAAATAATGCTGCTATGAACATAGTTGAACAGTTGTCCTTGTTGTATGAATGTGCATTTTTGGGAGTATGTACAAGTTTGTACTCCAGCAGGCAACATCAAACTAAATGGAGAGAAGCGAAATGCAATTCTTCTAAAATCAGGAACAAGACAGGGCTGTCCACTCTCTCCATATATCTTCATTATTGTACTTGAAGTTCTAGTTAGAGCAATAAGACAACAAAAGGAGATCAAGGGGATACAAACTGGGAAGAAAGAAGATAGTTACATAAGTGACCCGAAAAACTCTACCAGGGAAATCCTACAGCTGATAAACACCTTTAGCAAAGTGGCAGGACACAAGATTAACTCAAAAAAATTAGTAGCCCTGCTATATACAGATGATAAAGAGGCTGAGAAAGAAATCAAAGAAACATCACCCTTTACAATAGCCACAAAGAGCTATCCCTCCGGCAGCATCAGGTAAACAGGCCGGCTTCCCGGCCTGTGTTCCAGTGCCTGCAGATCGCCTGGGAACTGCACAGAGCTCCCAATCCCGGCGGGAGCCAAGCACCCCAGACTCCAGATCTTCTCTCCCACCAACGAGACCAGGAATCGAGAGGAGGCTGGGAGTCCAGGGAAGCAGCTGTTCCTCAGGCAGCATCAGGTAAACAGGCCGGCTTCCCGGCCAGTGTTCCAGTGCCTGCAGATCGCCAGGGAACTGCACAGAGCTCCCAATCCCGGCAGGAGCCAAGCACCCCAGACTCCAGATCTTCTCTCCCACCAACGAGACCAGGAAACCAGAGGAGCCAGGGAGACCAGGGGAGTAGCTGTTCCGGATCAGGTACAACAGGACCCAGCATAGGGTCCAGGGGACCAGGTAGGAGGCTAAGCGCCCCAGATTCCTATTCTTCTTCTCCACCCACGGGACCAGCATTTGGACAAGGAATAGAAGAACCACCAGATTATTGGACTTGCTAGCACCAACCAAAAGGGAACTCTGGTCCCCAGACCAGTAAGGGGCTCTTTCTGCACCCACTAGAAGAAGAGATGGGAAAGAGACAATACAAAAACACAGTCAGCAACAGAAAAACAAATATGACACCGCCAGATTCTAGAGACTCCACACCAGCAAGACCCCAACATTCCAATGCGAAAGAAGCAGAAGAGAACGACCTTAAAAGCACTTTCATGAAAATGATAGAGGCCCTAAAAGAGGATATTGGAAAATCCCTCAAAGAAATGGAAGAAAAAACAAACCAAAAAATGCAAGAAATGGAAGAAAAGACAAACCAAAAAATGCAAGAATTGGAAGAAAAAACAAACCAAAAAAAGGCAGGAAATGGAAGAAGAAATGAAGCAAAAAATGCAAGAAATGGAAGAAAAAACAAAGCAAAAAATGCAAGAATTGGAAGAAGAAACATACCAAAAAAGGCAGGAAATGGAAGAAGAAACAAAGCAAAAAATGCAAGAAATGGTAGAAAAAACAAAGTAAAAAATGAAAAAAATGGAAGAAGAAACAAACCAAAAGAGGCAGGAAATGGAAGAAGAAACAAAGCACAAAATGCAAGAAATGGAACAAAAAGCAAACCAAAAAATGCAAGAAATGGAAGAAAGAACAAACCAAAAAATTCATAAAAGGCAACAAACGGATGAACAGATAAACAGAAAATTGCAAGAAGCAATGCAAACACTGCAAGGGTTGAAAACTGAAATAGAGACATTAAAAAAACACAATCTGAAGAAAGGCAGAAAATAGAAAAGCTGGACAAACAGTCAGGCACTACCAATACAAGCATTACCAACAGAAGAGAAGAGATGGAAGAGAGAATCTCAAGTGTTGAAGATACACTAGGAGAAATGGATTTATCAACCAAAGAAAACCTTAAATCCAACAAATCCTTAACACAAAACATCCAGGAAATATGGGACACCATGAAAAGACCAAACCTAAGAATAATAGGTATAGAAGAAGGAGAAGAAATCCACCTCAAAGGGGCAGAAGGCATATTCAACAAAATCATAGAAGAAAACTTTCCCAACCTTAAGAAAGACATGTCAATGAAGGTACAAGAAGCCTACAGAACACCAAATCGAGTGGACCACAAAAAAAAATCCCCTCGCCACATAATAATCAAGACCCCAAACATACAGAATAAAGAAAGAATATTAAGAGCAGCTAAGGAAAAAGGTCAAGTAACATATAAAGGCAGACCTATCAGAATTACACCTGATTTCTCCATGGAAACTCTGAAAGCCAGAAGGTCCTGGATAGATATTCTACCTACACTAGGAGACCATGGATGCCAGCCCAGACTACTATACCCGGCAAAGCTCTCAATCACTATAGACGGAGAAAACAAGATATTCCATGACAAAACTAGATTCAAGCAATATGTGTCCTCTAACCCAGCCCTACAGAAAATTTTGGAAGGAAAACTACAACCCAAGGAAGCTAACTACAACCAGAAAAACATAAGCATTAGAGAATCCCTCTCTACCAACAGCCAAAAGAACAAAGGGGTGAAATTCCACACATAATTCCACCAACAACAACCATCGCAAATCGAAGAAGGATGAGCAATCAATGGTCATTAATATCCCTCAATGTTAACGGCCTTAACTCACCCATAAAAAGACACAGACTAGCAGAATGGATTCGAAGACAGAACCCTTCCTTCTGCTGCATACAAGAAACACACCTCACCCTCAAAGACAGACATTACCTGAGAGTTAAAGGTTGGGAAAAAATTTTCAATCAAATGGACCCAAGAAACAAGCAGGGGTAGCAATCCTAATATCTAACAAACTAGACTTTAAAATAAAATCAATCAAGAGATGAAGGAGGTCATTACATACTCATCACAGGTGAAACCCACCAAGATGAAGTGTCTATCCTGAACATCTATGCCCCCAATACAAAGGCATCCACATTCG